TGCTTGGTGATTATTAGCCGTTTTTCTCTTATTTACGTAAACACTGTTCACATCACTGTATTGATGTAGCTACATATGAGAATTTCTCCCATTAGATCCTAAACTACCTCAGTCACCTCAACATCTAAATGAGAAAAATAAGGTCCCATACAATCAAATTTTGAATCTATAACGGGGATCTTTCGTTTGTGCTTTATCGTTTTTTATGGATGTTTCATCACTTTTATCCCAATGCAATAGTGAACACAGGTTTTTACTGAAATCTCGATATCGATAAAAATACAAGAAAATACAATAAAAGATCATACTATAACCCTCTTCACTAACGCGGACGCCAGCTGATAATATAAATAGAGCTTTACATCATTGATCAGTTGTGGACACCGAATCAATGAACTTAATTGTCTCCATTATTCATTTCTAAAACAACATCAGTTTTTTCTGCTCAGGAAAAACACACCGACGTGATTTTAACCGTTTCATGCAAAATAAGACGAAAGTAGAAGGGAAATTCCAAACCTTTAATATTTATGAAGTCTAAAGCACTAATTTATCCTTAACAGGTTTCACTGAAGCTTGCTGTTATATCACGGAAGTAATATTTATTCAATTGACCAGATTATAGTGGAGAAGCTGGGTTGTGTAAAAAATAAACAAAAGTGCCATTGCAATAGAAACACACAACTACTACTTTGGCATAAATCTGAAATTTCGCACACAAATAATTTGTCGCTGCTGTGAAGTTACAAGTACTGTCTACGTATTCCATCAACTTGTTGTTTTCCTGCTTCACTCCAGTGGTGATTTTAAGTCTTTAGTTTTATTGCTTCTGACCGACAGCAAACTCGAAAGACATGCTTGTGAAGTTAGGGACGAGCGAAAATCACAAACATGGAGGCGACAGACACCGCCATTGTCTTGTAAGATGGTGCGAATTAGTATTTATTCCTCATTCTTTCTGTCATATTTTATGTTGAGAGTTTTTAGCTTCTTCACTCTAAGTTATTCTGTATAAAGCATACAACTTAGAAGCCGTATTGGTGGCAAAGTTATGCAATGCATGTAACCTAGTTGGATATAATTCAGATAATGTTTCCGCTACCTGAGATTTATTGACAGACGCTTTTAATGCACGTAAACTTTGAGAACATTAAGATTGTGGTACTTTTAAAAGTGTAATAACACTTTTGCAATGATATGACCTTAAGTAAGATATGATTAGTTGAAACTCTTCACCGTTGTTAACTAAAGCAACTATCCCTATGATCATTATTGCTCAGCATTGGGCTAGAAAAGGAAAACCTTCTGAAAATCATGCTCTATGAATCTTTTACCACTCGTCCGGGTTTTACCTCAATTCTAGAGAATATAAAATATCTTCAGATTCAGAAACTGATTTTTACAGTGAAACTAAATGATAGCAAATCAAATGATAAACACAACTAAGAATATTTAGCTTTTTCTAGATTTTTTAACCTTGTTCACATTAAAATATTTTATGCCAACGGATATTCCAAGGTTTCTTAATCTAGTTTCGAGTTCCAAAGACTATTAAACCCTATCTGTTCTGTAAAATAATTGAAATCCTGGATATTTTAGATACAATTTTACACACAAAGATATTTGGGTACATACACACGAAATAAATATTTTGTAAACGAGTAGATACTGAATTTCTACGCAAACATTTAGCTTTGAAGTCATTGCTGTACGTCTAACTAGGCCCACAGAGCACATTTCAAGTGGAACAAAGGGTGGCGAAGAAGCTCATTTTCAGTGACTCGTAGTCATGCCCATACATCACAATAAATATCACGATATTCATATATGAATCAGTATTCAACTATAAAAAAAATTATTTTGCTAGAGAAAAAATTAAAATCATAGGTTATTTGGGATTAATTTCGTCTCCAAACCGGATACGGTACTCTTAGTGATCACATAATTTTTGGGTCATCTGATCGTTGGGACTATACAGAAAATGCATGTGTGGGATGGTCCAGGGAAGTTTAAGCCTCTGTACAAATTGTTCTTGGACATAGATAGTGGAGTTGTACAGTCGAAGTTCCCCCGTTTCCTCTGTAGCGAGCACACGACATCGAACCTACCTTGATAGTCGACCACACATCCGAGGAGGCAAAACCCCTCGTTCACATTCACAGTAGGATTTGTTTCAACTAGATGTAAAACCCCTGTACTGGTGGGTGACCTAACCGTTCCTGTATTTAGCCATACGGATGGAGTTCACGGATTCGTTCGAGCAAACGTCTGACCGTGCGGCCTATATACGTTGTTCCACAGGAACACGCAGATGAGTTAACAAAATATAAGACTGCAGAATCTGGCATTTTGTCATTTAGTCGTAAACACACAATTGGCTGGTACTTGAAAAAAGTGAGCTTCGCCGCATAGGTCTTACTAACAGCATCGGATAGTCTCCTTTGTATTACCTCTGCTGATGTATCCCCCTTTCTGACCTCGGTCCTCACCTTGTCTCCTCACACTGAAGCACCTTACTAACCAGTCGTTCTAGATAGCCATTGTGTGTGAAGACAGTTTGTAAGAGCTGCAAATCTTCTATTGCGTCCTCCCTTCTAGCCTTCGTTGCTCTATCTGCTAGGTAAGGCACCAAATTCCTATTCATCATGACCCCAAAATAACCTGTGACTATAATTTCCCCTTCCGGAAACAATTGTTTTGTTTTTATAATTGAGTACTGATACATATGTGAACATCGTGATATCAAACAACCAATGTCTGTATTGAATAGAAGACTGACTTCATCTTTGCTCTGTTTGAATAGGTAAGCTAGCCTGTGATAAAGTAATTTTTTATTGTACTAATACGAAAACAAAATTGTAACAAATAATTAAAAAACAATCACTAGCTCGGTGTTTAGACTTTGTTATAGAGAAAAAAACCACTTGCAAATATTCATTCTGAAAGCTTCCATGGGATGATTTCCAGGAGGTTGAAAGTAAACATAAGTAAAAGTAAATGGAATTGGTGTACACTGAAAGCAATGAATTCACATAAAAAAGACCCCAGCCTGTAACTAAGTAACTGTTTTCTAACTTTGTCACAAAAATCAAAAAGAGCACAATTTGAGATCATCCGTAGCCTTGTCTATCTAATTCTCTGTAAGCGATAGATTGAAATGAATACTGAAAGTTTTACTAGTTTTGTTCTTTTAGATTAAGTGTTTGAAAATTTAGCGACGCATTTGTTTCATAATGAACTTTGATGAACGGTCGTAGTTATTCTAAAAGTAATTTATTTCTTTTCGAGCCTTTCAATCTTTGAAAAATGGGTATTAGCAATAATCTTTTGATAAACAGTTCATAAGATGGTCTTTTGTTTGCTTGTGATGCTGTATGCAATCTGTTACACTGTTCTCAAAGAATTTGTAACAAAGCTCTTTAATGCTTTTTTATGGAAATCAAATCATATGAACCTGCCGCTAGAACTAACAGAAATCGTTCTTGACTGCTTGTTGGCATTTTTGCAGTAATATCTTTCGCGCTTTTCTTAAAAAATGACTATTTAATATTTAAGTCATTGTACTCAGATTGATCTATGTCTTTGCCAATCAAGGGAATGCTTTTTCACCTATGTGCTAGTTTTTAGCAACAATCATGCAACGGGTGCATTAAAAAGTAAGTTAAACAAAACCTTCATTGGGGCAGTTAAGTCAATCTTGTCTTTAATTCAGAGTAGATGCATTTAGGGTAACAAAACGATTGGGGAAATACTGTATGACCGGAGTTTGGCAGGCGAAGACTCGTGTATATGGATGCCTGAAGTGCTAATGAGTGCGTGCCGATGGGGTAAAGTTTTACTGAAAATGTCTTGGTATTTGGGATATTAGAAAGGCACTTACCTAGTTATAAACTTGGTAAAATGCAAACCGCTGTATAAGGATAAATTTCCCAGGATTTTGATATCTGTTTGAAATTCTCCAGCAACAACCCTGCGAAGTCTGCTGTAGAGATACATAATACATGGGACCAAACGCACGCACAAGTTGGTTTACTACAGGAGAAAAATAAAGATGATGGGTTAAGATAATAATAATAATTGAAAATTTCCCTTAGGTTAAATGGCCAGCAATCATTTATTCTAAAGAACCACAATCTTGAATAAAATAGTATCGAAGAAATTCGGGAATCTGTTCGTTTGAAGTTTAATCGTGTTAAAAACATCGTAGCAGGCTTTGAGAATATTGTTCTATGAAATAGTCCTCTGTGGAGAAAGTGGAGTCTACGCATCAGACGGTTTCATAGGAAGTTGTTAAAATATTGACCAGTGAATAGTTTGCGGGTTTTTACTTCATAGGTGCAAAACTTATTCGTCAGAATACTGCAGTACGCTTGTAAAGTTCTCGACCTACCTTCTTAGTAAGGAGTAAAGGAGAAATTTTAGATAATTAAATGTAGATATAAATGGAAGAAAAAGCTAACGGAAGGGGTGAATGGGGCAGAGATTTTCGGAATAACAAGTGAAGTACTGCCTTTCATGAAGCATTCATTAAAAAAACAGCAAATGGATTACAGAATACCTGAGTATGCGATAAAAGTTAGAACACATCTCTTAAAATTACTAAAGTATTCCTTTGGTAAAAGATATTACTTGTCTAGTGTAGGCAGAATTTAACGTGTCTGGAATACAGTAACGTTCATTTTTAATTGGGTGCTACATCTCGTGACTTGATTTGAGTCGGGTTCGAGAGTTGAATCGGATGAATTCCTCTTGGATTTCGTTATTTGTAACCGACAGGTACTGGTTTTTTGCATACAGCTAAAGACTGAAGTAGAACAACACTGTTTGCACGAAAAATAGGGCTTTTCGTCTTGTTCTTTCGGTACTACCACTGATGCTGACTTCGCCTAACAACAACATCTATTATTCTTTAAAATCAGTTTCATTACCGGTGAATAAATTAGTGCTGAATGTAATTGAATCGTTTTTCTCTATATAGAATCATCCTTAAAGAAAACAGAATGCAAGGAAACATACTATCGGCTAAAGCAGATCTTGAACAATTGAATTCTCGACTGGCTGCTTATGTACATCGTGTTCGTCAACTAAAGGACGAAAATGATATAAAAGATCTCAAAGCGGCCATCACAGTTTTGGAAGACGACCTAAGATCCCTCAAGGCATCTTACGAATGCCAGATCAATCACCTCTCTTCGTCTATTCGAATTTTAACGGAAGAAAAACATGAACTGCAAAAAGAACTTCTTGCTCACAAGGAAACAGATGCTCATTTTATGGACCGGTGAGTTTATAAACAAAAGATAAAACAAATCGCTTGACAAAAGCATTTCGCTAGAGTCATCAAAAAATGCCAAACTTCTCTTAGAAGTTAGCGGATTGAAATCAGATCTCTCGGACTATGAACGCGAGATTTCCACACTAAAACTACGCATTCGCCAGTTGCAGTTAGAAGCTGGGGATGGACAGTCGGCAAAGAAAAAGTTGATCGAAGAACTTCATGATTTAAAGCAAAAGCAAGTTTCTTTTTAGATGGTCTCCAAATCGGTTAGATTATTACTGTCGGAGGATTTGCAAGCAAACATGAGCAATCAACTTTCCTCCTTAACGGAACAATTAGCAGCAAATGAAAAAATGTCTAAAGAGGTAACCCACTTGTTACGTATATTCTTTGATCGATTTTACATTTATCTACTTATATTAATCAAATACATAAATGGAGGATATCTATTATGCGCTACTGGTTTTCAAAACTTGGTCATTTTAGTGGATCCCGGCTGAGTTATCTTCCTCTAATTCAAAAAACTAACGTTGATTTCTTATTCCTCATTTTTCACTGCATTCGAGCAATTCAAGGTCAAAAGGGAGAAAATCAGTGAAAGAGCTGAAATACAGCCACAATGTGGTAATAAAATTTATCAGAGGATGGGATAGACGAAGTATGAAGGATGTAGATTGTGATCGTACAGCTTGCTTGAGCACAACAGTTTATCACGTGAATTGCAGGAAGGGATTTAACTAGTGACTTGTATTGGATCTGGCTTAAAAGTCACAATCATTCGGTTTCTATCATCACCATCGCTGAGTATAATATGCAGGTTGTATTTGTGCGTATGTTCACGAGAATGTGAAATAACTGGGAATGAGAATTTGGGTAAAATTATCCTGACATCATAGACTTACTCCGGATTTTAAGCAATGGAAAATTCGCTGTGCGAAAGTTGTATCCTTTTATCTATTTTTCTTTGCTATGCAAAGCTGTCGTACAGTCAGACATCCCTTCTAAAGGCTGACAACCTCATCTTTTGATACCTTTCATATTTCAGCGATTAGGCCGAATGAGATCCCGACTGGACTGGTATATTGCTCAGTTTGCAGCAAATGATGCCAGAATGCAAGAAGTGGCTCACAAAGAGGCCACCGTACCGGAGATATTGTTACGTTTGCGCAAGACCGCACGGGATGAGATTCGTAAACATCAAGAAGAGACGAAGGCCTACTTTAAAAAAACTGTACGCCATCCGAGGACAGACCCGGATATTATTTACATAGCCTTAGTTTTGCCCGCACGAGCATCTAGTTTGACGCGACTGTGCATCTCCAAACATGGGTTTCATTTCACATTGTTCATATTTCTTGCGAATTCTTTCATTCAACAGGTGTCCATGTTACAATCGCAGTTGGTTGACGAGAGAAAAAGAAACCGGTTCTTGAAGATGGAAAGTTATCAATCAGGGCAGCAAAATTTATTATTACAAAAAGAGGTAGTTGAACTCAAGGCCAAGGTGAGTAAGGAGACTGAGAAGACACACCAATAGGCTGTAAATAAGTTTACCTTTTTAAAGCTCAGTGAAATTCATCACAATTAAAACTAGTGTTTAGCAAATATTAGTTTTTCATTGGCTCTTTCTATCTAATTGGTTCACACCTAAACCAGAAAATGATTTTCTCTATACTTAGTATAGAACAATTATTGGGGAGAGCACTTCCTCTATGCAAAACTGAATTTCAGACTGAACGTTTTACCTGTAGGTTTACGGGAGTTGTTTGGTTTGAGAAAGCCATAAGAATGTGTTATTCAAATGTAAATGTGAAAAATAATACAGGACAAACTACNCAAACTACGAACAGCAATGGCGAGAATTCTGCAAAATGTCTTGATGAGAGTGATATTAAAAAACTAAAAGCAGTAATTCTTCAGTGATTTAGGAACCTTTATTTCACGAAAGATAGTATTTTTGCCTATCATTGGTGTTCTGATATAGAAATCCTTCTCCACAATAACCTGTGTATGGGATATATTTTATCAATTATTTGTTGTAGAGTTCTTTTTAAATAGAGGATAATTTCCCTTGTATTGTCTCATCTGATCAGATTTATTTATCTCGGTGTTTTGTAAAGGTCTCTCAATTCGCTGAATCGTTTTGTTAACTAAACAATTGAGATACTCATGGTGTGGGAAAATCGATCTTAGAAACCGGAGCTGGTGTTCTAGCGTGCCCCACCCCAGGTCTTCTTTCCATACTATCGAAAACGAACAGAGGGGACGGGATTCGTGTTGCTAAATCGAACTCACTACATAGACAAGATGGATACGATATGAATTGATCAATCAAAATTCACCAAATCGACCGCAAAGGATGAGAACCCCTCAAATAGAAAAGACCGGCTCTGAGAGTTTGTGATGCTTAAAAAAGAGAGGAGTCATTGATACATTCGTTTTCATATATATTCAGACAACACAGACTGTTATTCCGAAGATGTACGGATTGTCAAACGTACGCACAGATGGAGTGCAATTATGACTGAATTGATTCATGTGCAACTCGAATTGTCCTGATTTGGTAACATGGGTTTTGTTTGTATTTGTATTTGAATAGACTTTTGCATGAACGGATGTCCGCATTTCAATGTTCAATGTTCAGTGTTCTTCAATTAGAGGCAGAGGGTAATTTCC